TGTTCCTCTATTCATTGTGATTTGTGTTTGTAGAGATTTTTTTTTTTACTCTTAGCTTAATTTCTATGTTTTGTATTCACAATGAAGGCTGGCTTATCTTTCATCAAATATACTGCTTCAACACTGATACTTACATTTCATTCATCCAGGCTGAAACACCGTATTATATCCATATTCTATCTTATGAAATGGTGCAAGTTTTCCATTGATTCTGGCTTTCTGCCAGCCAAGGAGACATTTCCAAAATGCTAAATTCCACTCCAGTCAGTGGCCAATACACAAAAATAGGATTGACATTCTTGGCATCTATAATTAAGTGAGTAACGTTAGAGAGATAGAATGATAGTGATATATAGATATTGGCCAAATAATCTTCAGCATCTTCAAAAATGATCTAGATGAGGGGATAGAAGTGGAACTCATATTTGCAGATGACACCAAGCTGGGGGAAATAGCTAACATTTAGAAGATGGACTCAAGATTCAGAAGCATCTTCACAGACTTGAACACCGTGTTCTGGTCACCACAATGCAAAAAAGATATTGAGACCATAGAACAGAAGTCTCCAAACTTGGCAACTTTAAGACTTGTGGACTCCAGCATAGCTAGCTGGAGAATTCTGGGAGTTGAAGTCCACAATGTAATATCACACTACTAACCAGAGCATACAAAACATTTGCTGGACCAATACTCGAATACAGTTCATCAGTCTGGAACCCACACTACGTATCTGATATTAGCACAATTGAGAAAGTCCAGAAATATTTCACAAGAAGAGTTCTCCACTCCTCTACTCGCTGTAGAATACCTTATGCCACCAGACTTGAAATTCTAGAACTAGAAAACCTTGAATTACGCCGTCTTCGGTCTGACTTAAGCATGGTATACAAAATCATACATTGCAATGTCCTACCTGTCAATGAATACTTCAGCTTCAACCATAACAACACAAGAGCACACAATAGATACAAACTCAAAGTAAACCGCACCAAACTTGATTGCAGGAAATACGACTTCAGCAATAGAGTGGTCAATGTCTGGAATACTCTACCCGACTCTGTAGTTTCTTCCCCAAACCCCAAAAACTTTAACCTTAGACTGTCTACTATTGACCTCACCCCTTTCCTAAGAGGTCTGTAGGGGGCGTGCATAAGCGCACCAACGTGCCTACCGTCCCTGTCCTATTGTTTTTCTTATTCTTTTATTTTTCTTATATGTAACCATTTCATGTATTCACAACTATGTATACATTTATACTTATTATCTTGTAAACAATTGACAAATCAAATAAATAAAATAAAATAAATAAATAAAGTCTTAAAATTGCCAGGTTTGGGGACCCGTGCCCTAGAAAGAGTGCAGAGTGCAGAGAAGAACAAAAAGTTAAGGGATCTGGAAGCTGAACCATATGATGAAAAATTGAGGGAACTAGGTATGCCTAATTTACCAAAAAGAAGGGTGATATGATAGCAGTCTCCTAGTACTTGAGGGGTTATCACAGAGAAGAGGGAATTGACTTATTTTCCAAAGTACCTGAGGGCAGGACAAGAAGTAGTGGGTGGAAAATAATTAGAGACAGATCCTAGAACTTTGGATAAATTTCCTGACATTGAGAACAATTAATCAGTGGAACGGCTTACCTCCTGAAGTTGTGGATGCTCATCATTGGAGATTTTCAAGAAGACACCAGACAGCCATTTGTCCAGAATGGTATAGGGTCTCCTGCTTGAATAAGTGGTTTGAGTAGAAGACCTACAAAGTCTCTTCCAATCCTATTATGCTATGTTTTATGTACTATCTATTTTATTTAGTGAGAAACTTACTAGTTGAGAGGTACAAATGAATGGCAAAAGGGACAGACACAATATATTCAGTATGTTTACATTTTGATTTCATTGTACATTTTTTTGTTTTCCTTTCTGGCAGCTCTGATTCTTACAGTGACATCCACTGTTGTGATAAGCCAAACTACATTTGAGATAACTTGCTTTTTAATCAAAGAACACAACAATGCTTCGAGAAATTGGGATTCTTCACCTACTCTCAAGGTAAAGGAAAATTAGAGTATAAAAATATTGGATTGAACCAAAGTACCATTTGGTCTATAATTCTGTGCCACAGAATAACATCTTCCTGTTTGTGTTCTCCATCACATCATACTGAAGACAGTGTCTCTGTTATGGAATATAACATTCTCTACTATTTTTTAACAGTGTGAAACAAGTTTAAGCCCCAGTTAAAGCTGTCTGGTGGGCGTTGCAAGGAATGTCTGTAATTAATGAACTGAAATCTTATATAATTTCCATTCATTAATTAGAGACATTCCTTCCTGCTTTCATGTGTGTTGGACTTACCACCATCCAGTTTCATTGATCCTGGGTTCTAATATTATGAGCAAATGATATGTCTTCTTCCTCTCCATTTTCTCTATAAAGTACATATCTTCCTCACCCACCCAGTCAATTATTCAGTAAGCTAGAGAGTCTCAACTTTCAATTTTTCTTTGTTGTGAAGATCATGCAGTCCTTCAGTATTGTGACTGCCTGTTCCTGCACCTTTCCCAGATGAAATACAATCCTCAACTTACAATTGAGCCCAAAATTTCCATTGCTAAATGAGGTGGTTGTTAAATAGGTTTTGCTTCCTTTTTGCCCCAGTTGCATACTGCATCTGTTAAGTGAATCATGCTGTTAAGTGCATCTGGCCTCTCCCATTGACTTTGCTTGTCAGAAACCTGCTGTGAAGATTACAAATGGTGATCACATGGCCCCAGGACAGTGCAACAGGGACATGTTATGATGATGTCATAAATACATACCAGTTGCCAAGCACCTGAATTTTGATCCTGTGACCACAGGAATGCTATAATGGTCATAAATAGGCAGTAAGTCATTTTTTTAATGCCATTGTAACTTCAGTCAGTCACTAAACAAATAGTTGTAACTCAAGGTCAGAATTTCTTTGCATTGTTCCATTGGATGTGGACTCTACCTTCTTGAGGCTTGGGTAGATAAATGCTGTTTTCAAATGTTTGGGGTGATGTCTTCTTCTGCCACAAGCTTTTCTCTGTGTCTTCTGGCTTCCAAACCCACCAAAGCAATTTCAATTCCACAAATACCAGCTCCATACAAAAACCATTCGCCACTAGTACATTCCGTTCCATTTTCTGGCTTTTCTGGCTGTCCCATGGCTTTGACACAGAAGGTGTTGAGACAAATGATTAATGGGTTGCCGGAGAGGCAATTGCTACCATGCTAACTCTTGATTCTTAAGCAATGACTCTCCTGTCATGATAATTGGTGTAATGAACAAATATTCAAATTGTCAGGCTTCACAACCTGGGTTTGGGAGTAAATCCTAGGGTTCCTGACCTTTCACAACTGACTCTTACTTTTGGTCAGGGCTCAGTTAGATTTGAATCTTTACTACAGACAAGAATAAAGTCATAAACAATAGTTGAATGCTCGTTGCTAATGCAAAAATTTCAGAAATATATACACACTCAAGATTTTAACAATTCCCTTCCCTTCCAAGTGAACTGATACTTGGTGGGATGCTTGGTGGCTTTGAAGCCAGAAGAGTTGTACATTTACATAACAGCCATCTAGGGCTTGAGAAGATCTATTAGTGCCCACCTCATTCCTTTCAAAATAATTATTTCTTTGCTAACTTATAAATAATGGTTTTGCATTTTTCCCTTACCCATTGCTTTTCACTGCTCTTTTTCTGTGAATGGAGCTCAAGCAATGATGGATGTTGCTACTATCTGTCAAAGTATTATAAAACTGGATGTCAAGGTTTTATTTTATCTTTATAATAAGGGATTTCATTCTCCTCCAGGTCTTTAATTCCTCTGAATTTAAGACCTCTGAAGTATAAGTATAGTTTATGACAAGGCTCTTCAAGCTTGGCAAGTTTAAGACTTGTGGACTTCAACCTCCAGAATTCCTGAGCTAACATGACTGAAGGAGGAATTCTGGGAGTTGAAGTCCACAAGTCTTAAACCTGTCACGTTTGAAGACCCCTGGTTTATGAAGTCCCGTCATAAGCTATGCATTCAATCATCTTTTCAACAATTGAAACAACTCACAAAAATAGTTCATCTTAACGGTAAAGCTAACATTCTTTCATCTTTTCTCCACTGACAGCTGTTCTGTTTCCACACTCACTTGTGGTCTTCTGAGCAATCTTCATCTTCCCTTTTTCAAACATGTGATATTCCACTGTTAATACTTATTGCCTCCTTTTGCTTCCTGACTTCCATGCCTGTGCTTAACATTTTAAAGCAAGGTTTTTGTATGCATGTGTTTACCTTCATGTCACTATTGACTGCTAGTGACCTGCTAAACAACTTAAACAATGCAGCTTTCTTAGCAAAGTTTTGAAAGAGGTTTCCTGAAATCAGGTCCCCAACCTGGCTTCAGGACTAAAAGTCATCATCTCCTGGTTTTTTTAACAAGGTTCCTTAACCACTGCACCAAACTGTCTCTCAATATTGTCGAAAATAAATCACTTTCTATTTGTGATATTATCCCCTCTTAACATATTTGTCCATGTCTTCCAGGGATATCCCCAACTTATACTCTCCGAACACCCCAAAGATGCTTTATTACTAAAGGCAACTGGATTTTTTTCTCTTTTTTTCTTTTTTTTAAGAAAAAGTTTAGCTTTTTGGATGAGAAATGAAACATTTTCTAAGAAAAAAAAACCCAAGAAGTCCCGTTGCTTTTTGGAAAAAGCACCTTTGGGAGTCTCTCCATTCAGTACTTTATCCAATATGGTCTAATATGGATAAATACATGTGAGAACAGAAGTACCGTTTGACTTCATCCTCCACAAATTTATGTTCTTTTCCTCTTGTTTGCTGAAAATAAAACTGCATGGTCTACTGAGTCACAGTAGTTCAGGAAATCATAAATCTTACATCTTAAAATTTATGCTATATTAAGATTTTATCTCCCTCTTCAAACTCTTTAGTTTGCGAAATACTTTGCTTGCTTTTTTATGCTAAAATAGAAATGATAACTTCCCTTTCTTTTCTTTCTCCACATTTCTGTCATATTTCAGGTGTTCCTCTTCCTAAACTCTTTCAGTCTTTTGTTCTTTCTTTCTGCCATACTTTGCTAACTGTCCATTCTAATGTCCTGACTTGGCTCTTCTATATACCTCTCTTCTCCTTTATTGCCATTTTCTTCATCATTATCCCTCATATCTACTGCATAATCAGTATTTTTCGTCATTTATTTTGGGAATGCTCATTCGCACTTTGGGCACTTGGTGTGCCGAAGAGGTTAGTATGCTTCCAAAGATGAATAGAATTCAAGCAAAATTCTATTTTACTGACTTTAATTAAAATGTAAATTAGAAAACTTGTATGCATGTAATGTGATTACTTTTCCCTATTTATTTAATGATTTCCTTTTTCTGTCACATTATAACTTACAATTTAGTGACAAATTTTGGTGAAGCTTTGAGAAGGATTCCTAGGTTTGCAAGGGTAGAGGGGTGTTAAAGGGATGTTTGGACTCCAGGCTACCTATAGTCCACCTTTAATTTCAACACTGATTTTGCCTTCTGACTTACTGATTTAAATTGCTTTGATTTACTATCAATAGTGGGCAGAAAGTAGTTTGGGTGGCTGAATCCAGCTGTTACAACAAGGTTTTCCTTTCATGCAAAATTAGGTTGATAAATTAATAATAAAAGTATGTCAGTATCTGAACGAACATTTGTGTTTGTTTTCTTTTGAACAAATTTTATTAATTTTTAAAGACATACAAAACATAAATACACAGAAACACAAAACATAAAAGCATAAAAAATCTCTTTTCTGAAAGTTGCTTAGTCCCGGGTTAAAACTCTTGATACAGACACAAATTCAAATTCATATTCATTTTATATTCCATTCCATATCTTGTTAGCATTTTCAATTTTCTATATAACTTCTCCTCTCTTTTAAATTTTCTCAATTTTATTTTATTTATCTCCTCTCAATTCGAATCATAATATTTATTATTCTTTGTCTGTTCTATTTCCAGCTATCCATTTATCTTTCTTCTTTGAAAAAAACTTCTCCTGTACACTAAATGGAGTATGATGCCTTTATCTCTTTCCCCTATATTTATAATACTTAATATAAAACACAAAACTTACATTGGGATTCTGTCTGGTACGTTCTAAAATTATACAGTATTATCAAAACCAATACAAATCTATTCATTAATATTGATATTCATTTATGTCTTAAACATTTAACACATTATTTTTCAGTTAAATCACATACTTTTATGGGAGCACCTATTTTCCATAGTTATTCCCCCCCCCCC